TAATTCAAACCATATACTCAGGTCTACAGTCTCTTGAAGCTGTGAAAAAATCAGACTTTTAAGTTAACGTGAAAAAAAGATACGGCCGTTTATGCCTCAAAAAACGTATATTTCGACACTATGAAGGGAATCAAAATTTATAGAGTGTTTTCCGTTGACCTAGAGCTATGAAAGTTAGCAAGTAATACCGTCTGATACTACAAGTATAGAGAAAAATCTGAAAACTACACGTCAGTAACTTTAATTGTGGTTAAACATGCTTCTGTTAGTTTTTTACGAGAAAATACAAAGTGATCATTTCAAAAATTCCATATTAATAAAAGCTGACAAAAAATAAAGATGTTTGCGAAAATCAACTAGATATATTAGACTATGTTCTGACAAATGTTTTTGTCCTCGATCCAGACCAAATGTAAATTCATCAGACATATCACTGTCGCTCCAGACTCTGGCGAGGATACAGTGGCGTAACTGGAAATTTTTGGATCCCGCGGGACATTCGACATTGGGCTCCATGTATTACAAATTAACAATACTTTTAAAGCCAAAGTTTACAGGAAGAATTGTCAGCTCAGGAGCTTCGAATACCCTAAAAAGAAAAATTCCACTCCTCCAACTTCCAATGGATGAAGTATAAGGGTGCATTTATGTTGAAGCGGCGATAAACGATAAGAGCAGCGATAGTAGCGAAGGAAAGAATATTTTTATATTAATTTATATGTATGTGTTTATATTGGAGCAACGCGTCGAGACACGGTTGGCAGTTGAGCAACGATAAGAGCAGCGCTAATTCACTGCTTTTATTGTTTATCGCAGCTCCAACATAAACGTACCCTAAGACACACCTCACTATAGTATTGAGCAATAAAAACGATTGGAAGAGAGGAACGCTCGGTTTGCTCATAAGGTAAGAGACCATTCCATAACGTACTGATGCTTCCAAAACCAAAGCATGAATAGACATAGGAGTATTTGGGCCGAAAACTAAATACTTTGAACCTATGGGCACCTACCCCAGCATCTTTCAGGAAGAAATCGACGCTATCGAAAGATGCGTACAACTTATCTAAGATAGGAACTTTCGGAAACAAGAAATAGCCATCTAATCTATCCGATAGTCAAGCAGCATTAAAAGCGATCAACTCAGTAACCATCAATTCGAAGTTGGTCAAAGAATGCCTAGAGAAGCTGAACAAATTTGGCAAAGAAAATAAAGTTATCCTATTCTGGGTGCCAGCACACCAAGGGGTATAAGATGAAGGTAATGAAAAAGCAAACGATCTAGCTAGTAAAGGAGCGGACACTGCCCACTAACTGAACCAGAGCCGTTCTGCTTCCCAAGTAAACCAACTTAAAGCAGAAATCAAGAACTTGGAAGACTCCATCCGTAACCTAGAGAATGGGAATCTTCCAACGGTCCGTTGATTTGTAGACCATTGATTTGTGTAAGGACAATCTTCGGATTGTCACAGGGTGTTTAACAGGACACTGTCTCTTCAATGAACACGGAGAATGAAGATTATGTGGGGAAAATGGAGAAACACCAGAACATCTCATCACTGAGTATGCCAAGACGACAACCATTCGTGCCATAAATTTTGGTACGACTGATATCGAAGACCAAACCGTCCTTGTCAAAGCCCTGAGGCTGTATAATGAGTTATAACTCAAGAAATGCTGACACAATACTGCCGTATGCCGCCGGCAGTTTAAAGGCGGCAAGTGACCTAACAATAGTTTTGAGGAAAATGGCAAAAACTTTTTCAATGTTATACTTCACTAATATAAATATATACATTCGATTTTATTGTTCAACACTAATTGGAATACTGTAGTTATTTATAGGCATTTTTAGACAATAGAGCAAGTTCTGTTTAAAAAAATATTCTTTCTTGTCTCGTTTTCTGTATTGAATTCAGTAAGAAGTTGAAGTTAAAAGGCGGCAAGCGACAAAAAACTGTTCAAATGCCGCCTTTTAACTACAAAACCTTTGACGTGCCGTCAATGATACTTAATAGGACTTAATTATTAATAAATTTAACTAATTCTAATTATTATTAGTTTGGTTTTTGGTTACTTAGTTTCCCACTTTCCAACGAAAGATATGAAATAGAAAGAGATTACATTAGGAATGTAGCTGAGTGTAATGGATATTCTCCTTCGCTAGTTGATAAATTAATTAGAAAACGTAGGTATAGGTTAATAATTTCTGAAAATTCGACTTTTCAAGTGGAGAAAGATACGTCTAAATATTTTTCGGTACCGTTTGATAGAGAGTTATCCCGTGGTCTAAAAGGAATTTTTAAGAATGTCGATTATAAATTTGTGTATAGTGCTAATAATAAATTACAACAATTATTAGGTAATCGAAAAGATGAAACACCTCCAATAGAAAGGTCGGGTATTTATGAAATTTCTTGTAAAGATTGTAATCAGAAATATGTTGGGCAAACTAGAAGATCAATATTAACTAGATTTAAAGAACATTTAGCTCAGATAAGATATGGTAGACCGGATAAATCTTGCGTTGCCGAACATATTGTTGATAATGAACATTGTATAGATCTTAATAATTTAAAATTAATTAAACAAGTCTCAAATTACAGGCAATTAGATGCATATGAAAGCATCAGAATTAATAAATGTAAAGATAGTATGAACAGAGTCAACGGTCCAATTCCTTCAAGTTCTTTGTTCCTACTACTCTAGTGGCGGAAATCTAACTGTTACGCTCAGTTGGCTCTGACTCGGTTGGCTAGATTTTGCCACGCCCACTCACGCCCACTCGGTGCCGAGTATATAAACGCTCAACTTGTAGATTGTACTTTAGTTTATAATCATCTGCTGATGATGCTAACATGGTTAGCGAAACGCGCGTCCAGTGTAAAATAAAAGTGTTTTGGTGTATTGTGGTGATTTAGTGTTTTTATTTTGCTGTGTAACACCAAAGGTTCCAACCCTCAACTGTAATTTACCTTTGTACAAAAGCCAACTATTATTACAATAAATTATTATTATTAATTTTATGTAAGTTCTTTAAAAATGCGATGCGTGCTTGGATTCGCAATCGACTAATTCATACTCTCGCGAAATATACCGCCTTTTTGCTACCAAATTTACGTCCGCGTAGTGATTTTGACCGTTAAAAAAGGCGCGATAGTCACATACCGCTTTTTTACTACAAGTTTTGTGACGTATTTCACGATCTTATTTAACGATAGGGTGGTATTAAACAATGCCGCCTTATAACTTCAAGTTTTATGCCGCCTTATTCCTACAAAATATGCATCATTAGGCAATTATTTTGTAAATATAAATGATATATTTGCAATAATGCAACGCCTTTTAACTTAAATATTTACACTTGCCGCTTTTTTGCTTCCAAAATGGTGACGTTATGTTACTTGCCGCTTTTTAAAATTTCAAATGTCTTAAAAACAATTTTTGTAAAATATTTTTGTATATTTAGATAGAGTAGGGTCGCATCTAAGGCTTTCGACTGTGTAAATCATAATATCTTAATTAACAAATTCCAATACTATGGATTCAGGGGAGTGCCGCTCGAATGGCTTAAGTCGTATCTTGGCAACAGAAGGCAGCTTGTGAGGATTGATACGTCTATGTCTTCTTGTAAGCCTATAAAATGTGGTGTCCCTCAGGGTTCAGTACTTGGCCCTATTTTATTTCTGCTGTTTATCAACGACATTGCAAATCTAGACATTAGCGGTAACATCTGCCTCTTTGCGGACGATACTAGTTTCACTTGGAGCGGCCCAGATGTTACGGCACTATATGATACTATATCCAGTGACTTACGCACCATTAAATCTTGGTGCGATTCTAATCTCCTATGCCTCAACCTTTCAAAAACTAAAGTTTTGTCATATAAAAGTACTATACAACCTTTTGTACTTAATAACACCACTATTGACGTCGTGGACTCGAGATTCTTAGGACTTGTTGTGGACAACTCTTTAAAATGGGACTTGCACATCGAAGCCTTATCAAAGAAACTAAGCTCTGCCTGTTTTGCGCTAAGATCAGTGTCTAAGGAACTTAACTCATCAACCTCAGAATGGTCTATTATGCCCTTTTTGAGTCGCATCTTCGTTATGCCCTTCCATTCTGGGGTACTTGCTGCGCGACAAAATTTGATCGTATTTTCAAACTTCAAAAGAGAGCAGTTCGATACTTATTGGGACTAAACAGTAGAACTCACTGCCAGAATTTCTTTAAAAATTTCAAAATACTGACTCTTCCTTCCTTATTCATTTTTGAATCCGTTTGCTTAATCCGCAAGCACATATTCTCTACTCCGGAAAGGCCTTCTCACAACTATCCACTTAGGAATGCGGTGCACGATATTTATCTGCCAACCCCGAGCTCAGAACTAGTTAAGGGCTCAATACTGTACAATGCCAAGAAAATGTACAATCATTTGCCTTCGAATATCAAGTCACTTTCATTCTTTCCCGCATTTCGCAAAGCTCTGAAATCATACTTACTGGAGAGAGCCCCATATGCGGTCAACGACTTTTTTGTTGATGTTTAATCATGAACAATTTAAAATTTTAATTTTAATATTTTGATACTCTCACAGACTGGTTAAAGGTCTAGTATTTAATATTTTATAACTCTTGATTTTATGTTATTATAACATGATTTTATCCATTTACAGTTTTTGCTTTTGTAAAATTTTCTAGATACGCCTGTGTTCTGCAATGTCCATATATGTTTTATTTGTAATTTTATGACGTAATTTTTTTTTTAATTGATTTGTATTGTATGACATTTTTTTTATTATTTGTATATTTGTTTTTGTGCTTTTTTTGTTTTGCTTTGTCGATGAAGCTGTTCTGGCTTTTTGTACAATAAACCGTTGTTTTTTTTTAGTCTGAAAATGCAAAAATCTCAAAATTGAAAAAAATTCATTGGCCACCTTTTAACTGCCGACGGCAGAATATTTTTATAAGGTCGCGGTGATTAACTTAGTCCCTTCACACAATCTACAAGAGGGGTTAGAGGAGGTATAGCTACGCCACTGCCAAGATAGAAAGCGAATGTTTACCCTCTACTCTCTCCATGTGAAGAGGATTAACCAAATCCAAGTGAAATAAATCAAACTCCCGCGGAGTCAACTGTCCATCTCACCTACACGTAATCGAAGCAGACTTAATCCTTCGTGCGACGTCCATGGCGAATTGTGTATAAATTCTTTTGAAGGGGTGGCTTTTGGTCAGAAGCGCGTCGCAAACATGGGCAGAGTCACACTTACCAATTCCTTCGTGCTTCTTGCAGTCCTCTTGTACTCTGGTAAGTTTTGAGATATATCCAGGGTGATCCAGCGTTGAGATAAAAATCTTTATTAGGTTTTTTACCTTCGAAAACATAATTCGTATTTTAGATTGTTCTATATCATTTTAATTCTTTGTTATTTTGAATTATTTCTTCTACCCGTTTTTGGTGATAAAAAAAAACATAATTTATGGATACTATGGCAACCAACATAGGTATTAGTTTAAACTTACAAGAAAGAAAATCCAGAAAAGATCCAGTGGTTCTCAAAATTTTAGCAAAAAATATATTTTTTTTTAAATTTTCAAAGTAAAATAACTCCATTATTTTGGACTTATTTGAAAAACGATAAAGAGAAAATATGTTTCTTTTATCGAGATCTACCACCCCTTAAAGTACTTGCACTTATTTCTGGGACACCCTGTATACATACTTGTATAATTCTATTCTAGTTCTTTTACAAAAATTGAAATTCTTTTTTGTCCAGAAGAATTTTGTTTGTAATTTCTTAGTTAATTTTTTGTTTGTTTTGGTGTTTCTCCCTTTTGTCATAAATTTCGTTGCTTCGTTTTTTAATACTGTTTGGATTTTTTTTTATAGATTTCTTTTTCATTTTTTTTAATATTTAAATCCTTTCATGCTCTTAGCTATCCTTATAGGTAAATTTTGAGATATATACAGGGTGATTCACTGCTACGAAAAATCTACAATCCGCATTTCCATTTTAGAAAACAGAATTTTTATTTTTATTTCTATGAATCATTTGTTATTTTGAATTATTTCTGCTATCCTTGTTTCTTGCTAATGTTTTATATCTTATTTGACCATTTTACAGCCTTTTTGATTAATATACAGGGTTGGGCGATAGTGCGTCGGGTATATGCAGCTCCTAGAATAAAAATCTTGAGAATTTTGTTTAAGTACAAACCTAAAGTATGTACGAGGATGTATTTCAGGAAAATATTTTAACTTCTATAGCATCGAGCTCAAAAAGGTATGAGTGGATCGGGATGATTTTTCTTAAATGCAGGGTGTTGGGTATATTATTTTTTTATTAGATGGAGAGTTAAAAAATGAACATTTTTTGTATTTAAAGTATTTTAAAAATATTTAATGGTTTTGCAGATACACGCAATATTATTTCATCTTTTTCAACGGTAAAATACGAGAGAAAAATCATGGGGTGGCTTTGATAAAAATTTATTGTAGAAAATGCCACATGAAATATAAAACTGCGAATATCTGCGGAACCGTTAAAAATTTTGAAATACTCTAAATATAAAAAATGTTCATTTTTTAATTCTACATCTACTGAAAAAATAATATACAGTGTGTTCCATTTAAAAAAAAAACAAGAAAAGTTATTTTATATTTTAGAAAGTTTGGCGTAGAATTTGGAACACCCTGTATGATTTACGATTACTATATTTATAGCAAAGTAAGTATAGGCCATCTACAGTAAATATCTAATATAGTGTTGGTTTCAGGACATTTTTTATACTTTTAGTAATTTTTTTAAAAAATACCGAAAAATATATATTTTTTGTTTATTTATTAATATCTGTTTATTTATTAATACCTTGTTTATTTATTAATATCTATTTACTGATATCTTACGATTATGTAAAGTGATCTGAAAGGAAGCCAAAAATGCAATAATATACAGGGTGTTCCATTTAAAAAAATCATCACGATCCACTACACAGTTTTTTGAGCCACTCTATAGAAGTTAAATATTTTCCTGCAATACATCCTTATATATAGGTTTGCATTTAAACAAAAATCTCAAGGTTTTATTCTTGGAGCTACAGATGCCCGACGCACTATTGACGGGCCCTGTATATAAAATCTCGTCTCATTTTTTACCCCAGTCATAGAACGAACAGAATCTTCAGATCCAACAACATTAAATCTCCACAATGAGAAGGAAGCATCTCCGATGTGGTTTGGACCAAGAATTGGTAGAAAAAAGAGAAACCAAGAGAACAGGGGCTACAGAAACGATAGGGACCAATCTGGTGGTCTTATGGACATTTTAAGAAATGGACCTGTTCTGGTTATGTCCATGAGCGAAGGTATCTATTTTTTACAGAGAGCACATTTAATTCTGATTAAAACTATATTAATATTTAAATTAACCTTTTTTTTATTTTATATAGTTTATTATTCGTTCAGTATACTAACTCTGAATCAGTCAAACTGCTTCAGTGAGACTGACACGTGAGAACCCGTCTTTATAGCTTTTCAAATATCTCAATTTTTAGAATATTTCTTGACAAAAATCTTTATCCATAAAGCCAAGGCTTTAATAAATTTGTTCTTTTTTAGCTTCCAAGCAACGCGACTTCATTCCAAGACTAGGAAGAGAATCAGCAGAAGCAGTACCAAAATGGCTGGACGACTCGGAATTTAGCGAAGGGGAACCACTGTCCACAAGGAACACGAACCCTTATACTCCCCGTTTAGGGAGAAGTAATTTTTCTTTGTTTTTCCCCCGTTTGGGCAGAGAACTTGAATGATATTAAAAGACATGATACTACCCATTGCCAATAAAATTGATAACGACTTATATGTTAACTCATATTCTTATGAAACTTTAATAAAGACTTCTAATAAAAACATATTTTCTCTATTATTAACTACTCGTTTACCCGACAAATCCTTATCGAGTAAAGTAAAAAAATCCTAAACTCCATCCGCAACCTGGAATCATCCAACGGTCTATTATACCGGGTGTTGCATCGTCGGACGGGACATAGGAAATTCCATGTAAATTTTAATGGGGTCAATTATTGACTTCCCTGATTATTTTAGAGAATAATTCTATTTAGGTTTATTGAGGAGCACTAAAACCCACATTCAAAAGAATAACTTTAGATATTTTTGATTAGCTCGTTTACGAGTTATCGCCGATTTCTTTTTAAATATTTCTCCTTTCTTATGGCCCTGTATTTACTTATGAGCACCAGTCAAGGTAAAAGATAACTGTCAAATGAAGTTGTCATTTCAGAAATCTACCTATTTAGTGCTTTATTATTATTGAAAACCTATGTTGAAAACTCATTCCTACATCGGAAATCTTAAATTAAAGTAAAATAAATTAATCAATTACAAGGTTAATTATAGTATTATTACAATATTCAATAACTTATTAATTTAGGTACTATTAAATTGTTATAACTTTAGGATTTAAGAAGATGTTCAACTATTTCTCCATCGACTGCTAGACAATAACCCAGGCGATCATAAAATTCTCTTCTTACATTCGCTAGTTGGTAAACTGAAATTCTATTGCATTCAGCAGAAATAGCATTTTTAACTCGTCTAGATTTGGGTATTTTTTATCCTTGCATATCCTGTTTTTTAAATGGCCCCAGAGAAAGAAATCATTTGGCGAAATATCAGGAGACCTTGCTAGTCAATTTACTGTATGATTTAGGCCAATAACGTTTGCGTTAAAACTATTGTCTAAATATTCCCGAACAGCCAGGGTACTATGTGCCGGGCAGCCATCCATTTGGTACCAAACTTCCTGATTTTCCCTAGCGGTATCATGTAAAGCAGGTAAAATATGATTTTCGAGTAGTTCCAAATAATATTCTGCATTTAAATTTCGCGTAAGAAATAATGGCCCGATAATATTGTGTCCGAATATCCCTGCCCAAACATTTACTTTCTGTGGATATTGCGTCTTTGTTTCGACAAACCTGTGTTGGTTTTCTTGGTTCCGATATCTATAATTTTGAACATTGGGTTCATTATTTAAGGTAAACGTGCATTCGTCAGTGAAACATATGTTTTTTTAAAAATTCCCTACCCGTGTTTGCTCTTTCCATCATATCAAAACAAAACGCCTGTCGCCGTATTTCGTCCCCATCTCGTAGCTCTTGGTGCTTTTCATATTTGAAGGAATAGTATTTATGTCGTTTCAAAATTCGAAACGCTGTAGTGTGATCTATTCATATTTCATCCTCAAGTTTCCTTGTGCTGATCTTTCCATCGTTCTCTTCCACGCACAATAAAACTTCCAAGTCGGTATCATTTCTTGCATCTGATTGGTCAAGCTTAATAGTTGACTGCTAGGGCTAGACACTTCTTAGAGGAACTAAACTAATGGTGGGGAGTGCCAGCCTTATGCCGTATGTTATCAGATCCGGACCTAAAGGAACAAGAGGAACTAAATAAAAGACTAGTTTACGTATGGATCAGTCAGCGTGAGTGATGCTAGCGTGAGGAGTGCCAGCCGTATGTTATCGGATCCGGACATAGAGGAACTATTAAAAGACTAGTTCACGGGAATCTATTAAGTCGGCAGATCCTCGATATAATACAAGGTGACGACGATGGATTCGGCCTTGTCTATTGCCACAGCCGGAGCGGCGTAATTACCACAGGAAATTGTGGTGGATACTGTTTTTGATTTTTACTTTGTTTTTTAAATATTTTATGGGAATGTTTCACTTTAGGTCCCTAAAACTAAGAAATATCTTATAAAACGAAGTAGATATTTTTAGACAAAAACAAAAAGCTTGAAGTGAGAAAAAATACATTTTTTCGTAAATTTTTCGTATTATTTCCTCCAATTGATTTGTGATATAGTTTTTAAACTCTGATTTGAGTTTCTTTAATTTTTTTATCTGCTATAAAACTTACCTACAGTGGTGGACAAAAGTATGGAAACTTTTTTAATTTGTCATTTATGCTGAGAAATTAAAATATGAAATAAAACGACTTGTATAATCGTGACCTGCAAATAATTTCCTACAAAACCTAATACATTTAAATAAAAAATTACAGCTATCAAAAAATATATAAAAAATTATGAATATTTTCTTGGTCAAAAGTATGGAAACTTAAGAAGAATGTTTATTAAAATTCAAGATAATATAAAAATTACTAATATTTAGTGGAATATCCCTTTGAATTAATTACTTCTCTACATCTTCGTGGCATCGAATCGATCAATCTCGTACAATCTTTACTGGAAATGGCCGCCCATTCAGTTTTTAGCACTTCCCATAATTCATTTTTATTTGAAATAGAATGGCTTCGAATTTTCCTATCCAAATGGTCCCATAAATTTTCTATGGCGTTAAGATCCGGAGACTGTGAGGGCCAATCCATTAGTGGAACATTATGTTCATTTAACCAATTTTGAACAAACTGAGATTTGTGCTTGGGATCATTGTCTTGCTGGAACAACCATCTGAGTGGCATTTCTTCATCAGCATGAGGCAGCATATTATTATCCAATATGTCTTTGTACAAAAAACGGTCCATTATCCAACCTGAGCGAGAGGACCAACACCTGAGCGAGAAAAACACCCCCACACCATTATACTCCCACCCCCATGTTTTACTGTGAGCATCTGGTACTTATGGCTGTACCGTGTACCTTTTGGTCTTCGGATATAACGTCTCCCGTCACCACCAAACAGTTGAAACTTGCTTTCGTCGCTAAACAGTACATTCCATTTCTGATAAGACCAGGTGAGATGATCTTGAGCAAATTTAAAGCGGGCCATCCTATTTTTCTTTGATATTAGTGGTTTCTTCACCGCGACTCTTCCAAAAAGTCCCATGTCATCCAACCTTCTTCTCACCATGCGTGCAGACACCGATATTCCCCTTTCACCCATTTCTCGAGAAATGTCTGTGGATGTTTTTCTTGGATCTCCCATTGATATTCTCTTCGTTACTTTCATTGTCCTGTTGCACAACTTTCTTGGTCTTCCTGACTTAAAAGCTGTTGAAACGTTCCCTGTTTTATTAAATTTACGAATTATTTTCGAAACGGTGCCTTTTAAAATGTTTAAATTTTTACTTATTTGAATTTGTTTATAACCGCTCTTGTATAATTCAACTATTTTATTTTTTAAATCCGTAGAGAAACATTTAGACTTGGGCATGATGTTTATATTTATCTGAAGCAAATCGTACCGTTTATCAGCTTAAACTAAATAATTTTAATGTATTTATTTATGGTTTCCATACTTTTGGTTACACGAAATCTATTGTTCCCCTACAAAAACTGCTAAACAGATTTTTTTCGCTGTGTAATTTTTGGAATACTTTTATTTGCTGATAAGCTGTTCATTTATATTCCTGAAAGTTTAAGCATAGCAATATTTTCTGTGATATTTTAAAAAGTAAAAAGTTTCCATACTTTTATGTATATGTTTTTAACATATGCAATTACACGTCTTCCCAAGCAGCATTTGGACGTCGGGACAACGTTGTGTCACGCGACCAAACGTCGGGGCGCAACGTCGGCACAACCTCGTGCCAACCCTAGTCTGCACTAGTTTGGAGAATAATTTTTGGATCGAAACGACGTTGGATACCGACGTTGGCTAGAAGCCTAATTTAGTACAAACTGCAACGTTCTTTAAAATCCTAATTCACAGAAATACACAACTAATATGGCGTCTAAGTCGTGTTTTATCCTAAGTTGGGATAATTATAGTAAAAATATTACTTTTATGATTTAGTTAGAGACATATGTCAGATGGCAGTGAAGGAAAACAAAACAAAAGTATTTAAGTGTGGAGGATGTTTGAAGATCATAATTATTGAAACACTTTAACCGACTCTGTAACTCGTTATCCAAGGCAAAAAAGTTAAACGCAAACAACTTTATTGATAAATGTATTGTTTCTACTTTGAAAAATACTAATGGGCCTTAAAATTAAAGAAGTTTTAAAAATTTTCTTGAATTTTTTTTTTAGTAAAATGGGAATAATTTATTCGCAGTCGAAAAATTGTTTCCGCGTGTTTTTAGGGTCAAATATTTCAAGTTAATGTATTCAAAAGCAGGAATTGCTATTTTAGGAACGAAACATTTTCTTATTTAACAACATGGCGGCTTTCACTTTGTTGTTTTGGAGATTAAGATGGAGTAGTTCGAGTAGTCGCATACTGGACTAATAAAGTCGCAGTTCGGCCTTAACAGGTAGTATACTAGTCGCAAGATTGCCTAATTTAGTCATCCTAGAGTCTAGCTTGTGCCGCCCTCTATAATATAAATAAACGAGGGAGTGGATAAACTATCCACTCCGTAATATATGTCGATGTATATTATTAAATTTAGTTTTATATGTACCTTTCTTATATCCCATTTTAATTAAGTTTTTTTTATAAAAACAAAAACAGCACTGAACTGTCTGACTGAACAGAACAATGAAGTGGAAATTTAAAATTTAAGGTTATGGTTCAATACAGTTGCAAAAAGGTAGTGACTCGACGTCCTACCAACGTAAGAATAAGGAAATCTAAACAACGTTGGAATTAGTAAAACAGACGACGTTTGCATAACGTTGGAATAGGTCCTGAAACTGACGTCGGAAAACTCTGTATTGTCCAACGTTGTAACTACGTTGTCCGAATCACCTAAAGATCACTTAAGCAAAAAGGTTACAAGACAACGTTTATTCGACGTCGCAGAAGCTTCCTACTTTGCTGTAGTACTAGTCCAACGTCGGCACAACGTTATAAAAACGTTTAAATTTATTTTAATACCCAAGGTAGGGAGCTAACTATTTTTTGTAACTAATCCAACGTTGTGATTAGTAAACATGTGGTCGCAAGTCGTGAAAATGCTACTTGGGTTCTTATATTTCTTACATTATAAAAATTATAATGATTTGTATAATTTTGAATAGTAAACTGGGGGGTGAATAGTTCTGACTGAAAACGAAATCCATTAGCAAGCAACGGGGATGTCAATGTTAATCGGGAACTATTGTGAACTAAGGACCTAGTTCAAGGAACTATTCCTCTGGAGGAATTAGAACTAAGGAACTAGTTCCTCCCAAGGAACTAGAATTCCCACCTCTAATCGAGATCTACCACCCCTTAAAATACTTGCACTTATTTCTGGTAGAGATGGGCAAAAGTAACCGGTTTTTTGAATAACCGGTATTTTCCTCTAAAATAACCGGTTATTTAAAGGTAGTTTTTTTTTCACCAGTTAACCTAATAACCTTGCATTACGTTCAATAACCTATAGCCGGTTATTCGAAGAAGCGAACAGCACGGATCTTCCAGATATTACGACGATAACGGGAGATCCCGCTCCCGCTCCCAAAACGAAAATATATGACATCAAACATCAAATGTCAAAATTAAATCAGGCATCAGGCGAACCCTGATGATAATAATCAAAACAACAGCCGAATGGCCCTGACAGGTCAGGCCGTAAAACAAAGTACTAATGGCATAGACTACTACTAGCCACCAGCTAGCCAAGTGATACAAACCTAACTTCAAATAGATTCTCTAAATTCTATATTTAAATTTTAACCCACTTTAACGGATTTTCAACGGTTCTTCAAAAGTTTTCCATGGTTTCGCCTAGTTTCACCCACGTTTCACCGTAAATATATTTTATTTGTAGTTTGAAGTCTCTCTTGAAGCTTAGACTAAAGAATACAAAATTGAAGTTCAAGTAATGAATGAAGATAATCTTTCATTATCTATTCATTCAGTCTCCTTATTTTTTTTTTGGTATTTGATTAAAATAACTTGGTTGTAGATTGTAGAACTTGTGAGTTGTGTGGTTTATTTGAACGTTAAGTAATTACTAGTTTTAATATCATATACATGTCTACTCAAAAAAGTGAGGTTAGCATTTTTATTTAAATTCATTTTGTACATATACATATTTACATTGCTACACTCTCTATTTAACTATAACTAAGTTTATTATCTAAATTTGAAGTAGACCTATGGAGTGTAGAGGTAAGTAAACCTATAGGAAAACTAAATATTTAGTTTTGCTAGGTTAGGTTATTTGAATAACCGGTTAATTTGTGTCGGTTAATTTTGTCAAGTTATTATTTTTTAAAGATAATTCCGGTTAACCTATAACCGGTTTTTTACCAATAACCGCCCATCTCTAATTTCTGGGATACCCGCTGTTTATAACAATACACGTGATGCGTATACGCAAAGTTGCGAACGATGTCAAGAATAGGTACCCAGATTGACGCCGACTACCGGTAAGCGGCAAACCTGCTTGCACTGTGTTCGCACACTTTGCTATGAAGCGAGAGATACATTATGCTACAAAAAATAAGGAATGTTTCTGCCCATAAACAAATATACAATGTCGTCAGGCTTACTTATATTTACACATCACATTTACAATTAGCATTTGTTAAAATACTAGAAGATTACATCACTCATAGGCATATTTTGCCTTATGAACTATATTTTGATGACGACGACTTTACTTCATACGAAGCAACAAAAGAAACCAACAATAAATCTGAGGAGCCAACGCCAGGTCCATCATACAAAAGAAGACGATACAAATAAAAAAAAATCATAATATTCATTCACTTGATGAATTCCACGTTTCGTTTTGGGGAAATAAATACATATCACAGAGAAGTGTGCATGTAATTTTAATATGAACACCTTTAAGTTGGTAAATTTGTAGAACTAAACAAAAATTATGAAACTACCCCAATTTGTTCATGAACTGGACGCTATCTCCAAAAATAATGAAGCTACAAAAAAATCATGAGGAAAAGTTGCTTGTCCATTCATTATGAACAACTTTCATACGGGTCAATTTGCTGTAAAACAAACTTTTTGAAAACCACCCCAAAGGGCTCATGAAACGGCCGCTAAGTCCGGAAATAATGCGATTAAATATTAAATATATCTATAATTAAAAATTATTATATATAATATTAATAATAAATAATGCGAAAATTTAATCATCTAATTTTGACACAAGGGGTCGCGTTCATTGTTTTCAAACTATATTATTAGACTTTGTTGTATGTTGTGAAAAAAAAAATTATAAATGTTTTCTTAGTATAAAGTTGCATTATAGTAATTTAAATTATGTTACATACATATTTAAGATTAAAATATTATAACACATTTGTCAGTTGCCGTCTAAAATGTCATCTTGATAAAAAGTTAGTTATTGTCAAAAGTAGTTAAAATCATGTTAAAATATTAAAATTTACAAAGTTATGATGAGATATTTTATATTATTTCAACAACAAACACATAATAGTACAGCGTAATGTTGATATGCAGGTCCAAAACAAAAGGTGCCGTTATATTTTTCAGTTTTTGTTGTCAGCCGCGGAAGTTTCAGTGATTTTAATGTTGTCGGATATTTTTATTTGTGAAATAGAAATATTGCGTTTGGATTGCAAAACTAAAAGTGGAAGTTTTATTGCAATGTAAGTAAACGTTTGTCCATTTTATATTTTACTTCTTTCATACCTACAACAAATATACATATATTGAAATTTGATAATTCGTTTTATTTAAAAAATGTTAGAAAACAAGCTTGTAATTCTGTAATTTTATTGACATAATTGTTATGTAATATATTCCATTTAAATGTAATATAGTACTTTACAATTAAAAAATGTAAATTTAAAAAATATATTATTAAAAATATATACAGGCATTAATTGAATTTTTTTGAGTGTGAACAAACACGAGAGGCGCTTTATTATTTACTTTCATTTCTTAACATGACAGACGAAGTTCTAAAGGGGGATGTTTTGTGTACTTCTCACAGATAAGAGGTAAATGGCTAAATTTTTTATGTTTAAAATTTTAAATTGTTGTTGTTCTTGTGCTCTTTTTACGTTTATATTATTGTTTTGAATAAAAATGGCTCAGCAAGCTGCAGGTATTTATTCTGCAAAAACGTATTATTTATTTTGATATTCTCTATCCTAACGATTTTTTTTGCAACTAAAAGTTAGGCGCTCAGATAATTTGATTAAATTTGTGACATTTTTATTATACTTATCAATACTTTAGAGATTTAGTTGCGCATTTCGAAGAATTCAGCATATTGTCTATATACGTTTTACTTATTAAACATTGGGCTTTCATACAGTAAAATAAAATACTGCGACTTTGCTGATAAAATGAGAAAAACATTCTTGGTCTCCTCTAATTTGCAAATCAGTGATATACTAATGCGAGGTGTAAACCGCGATGGCATTGTTGTGTACAAAGCGATCGCATTAGTGCCATTAGCAGTATAGCACAATTTGGCATTAGTAGCGACTTTAGTGGTATGGGCATTACTCGCGGATCAGTCGTAGCATTAGTAGTATTAGTTGCGATATTACTACTGGTATTAGTGGCATTGACCGTGGAAACACTGGAACAGTGATTTTTCTTTCTTTTTTTAGAATCGACGAATTATCCTTTATTTTGTTCATATTATTTCCTCTTTAATTGAAAATAGCAATAATTTATATAAGGTCTACATAAAAAAATGTCGATCAACTATCTGTGTCAAATACCCCACTGCGCGGCGCCGGCGGAGCGGAGAATGCACCTAGCCTATAGTACAGAAGGAAAAATTCGAAACAATATGAGTTTTTATTTAAATTAAATAAAACATTAATACTGGTTCAAAACAACTGAATTTTGCAGAAGACCTGCAGAAGATCTATAAAATTTAATGTCCAATTTTTTATTTGTTAATTATAGGCAACCAAACTAACACTACAGTTGTATAACTGGTAAACTATGTAACATCGACATTTTTTATATTAACCCTATGAACTAATAAATTGAATAATTACATTTAATTGAAAGTACTGTACTAACGACCCTTCGAACTAAAATGACTTATTTTCTTGAATAAAAAAACAGAAAATATTAATAAATTTTATATTTGGACTCTTAAATTACAATTTAGTTATAACCATACGAATTAATCACCTCTGTGAATGGTTTCACTTGCTTGGAAACTTTCTCGGAAGCCTGTTTGGTCAGCTTCTTAAGTTTGTCACGCTTACGGATAGACAGAACTGCTTTAACTTTACGTTTGGTCTCTAGAGTTCGCACAACTGATTGGTACTTCCATCCCACTTCATGAGACAGACGACCAACGTGACAGAACTGTAAACAAAAAATTATTTAAGTTAATCAAATTAATAACGATAACATAGACAATTATAAATTAAAAATAAAAATCATAACTCTTAATATGTATTTCACATTTGTTCAAATAATGTAGGTAAATTCTCATAATCATAGAAGATATCTTAATAGAAAACAATGAAAATTAAAAGCAATACTAACCTTCCTGCCAGGTTTCAAACAGATTACTCTTAATGCTCCCGGAACTACAACACGCTTCCTTCGGTCATATGGAGGTGGAATTCCCTCGTAGGCCTTCAATCTACGAAGTGCTTGCTTTCCCCTTTCCGTTTTATGGGGTAACATACCTAAAATATACACCATTTCATTTTCCTGTACAAAATTACGCTTAAATAACAAATATATGAGTGAAACTATCATATAAACTTTTGTTTCATAGCACTTTCAAATAATGTAGGTAAGAATGTTTTATAATCATATAAAAAACGTGTAAATATGTCAAATATTCTTGGAACTACGTTACCTCTAACTGTTTTCCAAAAAATTCTAGATGGGGCCCTGAAATGGAAAGGTCCACGGGCTGGGTTTACATTACATCTTTTACGAAGGAAGGACATAAACTTCAATTTATTCCTAAAAGAGTTACATCAAATATAGAACATTAAGAACAGTGAACAGTGATTCTATGCAATCACTAACCTGAAAAAGTTTCCTGAAATATTCAGTTGTTCACACCTTACAACAATGATTCTGTTGCCTTGTAGGAGGGTCTTTGAGACGATTGCCGCCAATCGGCCCAACAAATGGCCTCTGCCATCGATTAGGATAGCCTAAAATGAGAAAAAGTATCGTAAATATAATTTAAAAACTGCCATCACACGTGTATGGCAATATATACAGGCAACAAGGAGGTTAAGAACGTTGGAAAGCTTTAAACTAAGCATACAAAGGAAGGATATAAAATATGGCAATACCTAAATTTAAAGCATATTCTTTACTAACAGAATTTGGGAAAATTTAACTAATAAGGATAATATTTGAGCAATAAGCAATAAATACCTTTTCGCTAAACCCCGTCATGTTTCTGTCCTTTACGGAAAAGACAGATGGACGACAAAATGTCGTAAGTGACGTTTGTTCAAATCCGCTTCCGCTAAAAAGGCGCAATATTCAAATAATATCTATGGGAATGTTATAATTAAATCTATTTATTATATTCACAACAAACTGAGAGTAATGTACTCTACTAGATACAAACTTTAATAAAGATAATGTTAAAGGAATATTATGTTTTATTATATAGCCATCACATATACCCTTAAAAGAATGCCCACGCATATTAAGTAGGATTTTTTTGTCGGGGGTAATATTATCAAACAAACATACTTTTGAAAATCCGCAATTTATTTCAAATTCGGTGCTATCCATAAAATATTTTTAGTCCAGAATTTATTCCAGAATTATTTATTATTTAGTTAATGCCATATAAATATTTATTATGAGTATTTATTATATATGATCGTATTATATATAACATTTGACATTTATTGGTTGGAATGTCTGAGATAAGTCTTTACGAATAATTTACATAAATAATTTAAAAACGTCAAAAGGTGTGTTTACTTATGTGTCATATATTGGATTGAATGTTTTATGTTTTCTTTTTTAAAATCGTTTAATTTCCCGTAGTAAATATGAGTTATATAAACAAAGTAAGATTATTTTAATACACATACAGTAAAACGTACACATGACAATACGTTTTAACTTAAAAATTAACGTTCATGTTTTCCTAATATGGTCCTATTGTAATGTGAATTTAACGGGATTACAATGACTTCAGAAGAGTTCCAATATGGTATTTTTATACGAAATGATATTATCAAGGATATTAGTAAAAACCAGAACCAGAGGACGGTTCTCGTGGGTCAAATATGTATAATTGACGCTGTACTTGGAAACAGAACTTTGAGAGTGCGTCTTTTAGAAGAGAATAACTCTTGGGAGGCCAAACCCTTTGTCACAGTCACAGAGAACTGTATAATACCAGTCCCCAATTCTTTGTTACATTATATATCTGCTATACATTCACCTCAGGAACGAGTTAAATTGACAAAAAATAGAATTTTATGCGAAAAACTACAGAAAGTCACTAAAGATGCAATTGTGGGATTCACCGAAGCTAGTGAAGTTAAGTTAGGTAGAGTTAGATATATTGGATTTGCTAAAGGAATTGGGTACTGTTACGGATTAGAATTACATGTAAGTTCCTGTTTTAAATGTGTTTATATAAGTAGTTGTTACATTTTCGTGTTATGTGTGCTTAGGAAAAACAACCAGGTAATAAATGTGATGGTGTGTGTGCTGGAATCAGGTACTTTACCTGTCATGCAGGACATGCAGTGTTTACAACAATTGAAAGAATAATACCCATATCTTATACTGATACTATAGAAAAACCTGTACCGCAACCACAACAAAATGACTTGGAAATTTCATTGCAAAGAAATATATCTAGCTTCGCCAATGGAACATTAGGTATTTAGTTGTACCTAATTTATTGATTTTCAGACATATTTTGTGTTATTTTAGATAAACTACCGAGGGAAGATATAGTAACAAAATATGGGGAGTATTCAAAGAAAATATCAATGCCCTCAACTAATCTTAGTCACAATATGAAAAATTCTTTGTCCCTGCAAAACATCTTAGATATGAACAGCAGTGTCAATACAAATAACGATTTTGATCAAAATACAATTATTCAGCCAGACCAAAGTCATTTAATGAATAACGAAAAATTAAAGGTGTGAGATATTTTACTTATTATAATATGTTTTATAGGTATTGTTCTAGAATAAGTCTGAGATTAATCTTCATGATTTGATTGGGAATCCTTGGCCAAGTTCCGAAGTAACCAAGCCCGAGAATTTTTCAAATTTAAGAAAAAACCTGGACAAAAATGACAACATCAAAGAATACAAATACAATAATTTTGAGAATAGGAATAGCTTAGCCAGGTATGTTTAATAGATTATGTGTAAAATATAGTTTTGTATTAAAAGTGTTTATATTTTAGTTCAAATGGTACACTAAATAGAACTGGTAGGAACAGAAGTTCTAATATATTATCTCATTTAATTGATGGTAATGGAACTATGAAGAGAAGTACTTTTTATACAGTTAAAGCAGGTGAAAGTAATAATGAGAAAGAAAGCAGCAGAGAAATCTTGAAGAAAGTTGAAAATGGTAGAAGTAAGTAATTTTATTTTATTCTTTTTTATCCTTTTTATGCAGACTCCTGCAACAATGTGTTGGGCATCTGTTAGAACTGCTTACCTAAAGTATGTAGTAGGGCCTATTTCAGGAAAATATTTTAACTGCTCAGGATTAATCAGGATGTTTTTTTTTTAATGGAACACCCTGTATATTCCTAACGTATTATTGACATTTTGTTTTGATAATTTCAGAGATATACATAAATAAATGAAAAATTATATTTTTTATAAAAATTCATTAAAATTACAAGGAATGCACTAAAATCAAAACTATACTCGGTATTTACTATAGACTGGTCTGTACTTACTTTGCCATAAATATCGTAATCCTAAATCATACAGTGTTTAAAATTTCACGCCAAACTTTCTAAAATGGAAAATATTTTTTCTTGTTTTTTTTTAATGGAATACCCTGTATATTATTTTTATGTTAGAGGCAGAATTAAAAAATGAACATATTTGTATCTAAAGAACTATAAAATTTTAAACGGTTTTGCAGATATTCGCGCTATTACATATATGTGGGTTTGATAAAAATTTACTGTTGAAAGAACCATATGTGACATAAAACCGCGAATATCTGCGAAACCGTTAAAAATGTTAATATGAATACAGTAAATGTTATTTTTTAATTCTGCGTCTATATACAGGACGTTCCATTAAAAAAACGAAAAAAAAATGCATATTTAAAAAAATTTGGCGTGGAATTTTGAACACCCTGTACGATTTAAAATTACGATATTTATAGCAAAGTAAGTACCGGCCAACTAACTATAGTAAACAACTAGTATACTTTTGATTCCAGGGCATTTCTTGTATTTTTAATAAATTTTTTAAAAGGCTAAAAACATATTTTTTTTTATTTGTTAATATCTAAGAAGCTATCAAAAGAAATTTAATAATACCTTAGGATTGAGTAGTTAAGTTATCAGAAAGGAAACCAAAAATGCAATAATATACAGGGTGTTCCATTTAAAAAAAATATCCCGATGCACTAGCACTTTTTTGAGCCACCCTGTAGAAGTTGAAATTAACTTTTTGGGACAATTATGAAAATATAACACCATTCTTTTGTTTTGTTTTTTATTCCAAATGAGTTTATTTTTTTTTATATGGGATATTTAAATCTATTAATTTATTACACTTTGTGTCTACGTTCAAATAATTTATTTTACATTGTTTGACAATTCAAAGCACGTTTCTAAGGTTGTTTTATAATAATTCATCGTTTATATGCTGTACAGATCTGAAACTGACCTACTCGGCCTTGCGGTCAGTTATATTTTTTTTTGTTTCATTGGCAAATTCTTTTTACTACAAAAAAAAATGTTTTTTTAATTTAGATTATTTACATTTAGATTTATTACTACAGTTTATACGTTTTGCTGTAGTTTCATTCTTTTTTTTCTGGAGAGATAATAGCATAGATATAATTACATTTATTAGCATTATTATACAGGGTGGTCCGAACTGTATTCCGGAAACTTTTCGAAACAAAAAATTGCAAGTCATAAAAACGTTCTAAATATACAAATCTATCCATTTTTTCCATATCGTTGCTCCAGTTTTTTGTCAAATTAACGAATATTAGAAATAGTTTATTTCAACCTCTTCAGCTTATTTTAAAAATGTTGACAAATAACAAAGAATACACCCCTTAAAGTTTCGCATTTGTCTTGATATACTCTGTATAAGACAACAGTAAATAACTTGTAATATAACTTCGAAATATAAATTTGAAATTAAAATAATGATTTGTTCATAAGTGATTTACGTTTTATTAATTTTGATTTTTTTTTCTTAAATTTAATTTAAAATTGATTTACGTTATTTATTAATTGAAACGTTTAAAATTTGAATATACGTTCAAATTTTTTTTTTTTACAATAAATTTGTTTATGATAAATAATTTTATAATGAAAATATGACCGAATTTCCTGGAAAGTTTGCCAAATTTGTACATATGAAAACCTAGCTTTACCACTTATCACAGAAAATCTCTATTCCTTCCCTTATCACAGAATAATACAGGAACGAACCATATGCGACAAAGATAGAAGATTTAGATATGTCGTTACTGCTTTTTGTTTTTAATGGATATTTTAAAAGCCGGGTAATATATGGTAATCTTTGATGGTAATATACTGTATACCTTTGACTGTCTTTGATTACAACTGTGTGATTAGTGATAATTATTATTAAAATGTCTGGTAATAAGTGTCAATTTTACAATTGTGAGATTTCTCGGAAATCAGGTGTACATGTGTTTAAGTTTCATGCGTCAAGAGATCCTAATTTATGTACAAAGCGGATAGAAAATTGTGAGTTCATTCATATAGAATTTTTTTGCACATTTTGTATGTAAAAATACGGCGTTAAGTTACCTTAGAAATGGTGATCGATGGCTTTTACCATATACCGTATGATCGAAAAAAAAACGGCGTCAGCGATGGCTATGAAATGAAGATCGCTGTCATTTGATATGTAAAATTATATGGGGAATGTCATCGATCGTCATTTCCAAACCAATCGGACGCCGTTTTTTTTTCGATCGTAGGGTTTTTTCAAACTTCGGTTTTCAAACTTCGGCAGCATATTCTGCAGATAAAAATAAGTAAAAAAGTTGGTATAAAAATATGTCCGAAAATGCTTAGAAAGTTTTCAATAGTGAGATCAAAGTTTATAGAATAATTCTATGTAATTCTGTGAGCTTCGGTAAGACTCAAACAGAACAACAAAAAAAAATTAACATCTAACATAATGAAAGTAAGAACTACAAACGACAATAATTATTATTATGTGTATATAGTTTATGAAACCACAGGCTTTCTATGGTAAAATAGGGTAATATTAAAAAAAAAAGAATCAACGAAAACTTTAAAAGAAAAAAAATCAGACATTTCTGTATGGTCTTCAGATTAAGCAGAAAAAAATAATCTTATAGTGTTCGGATGGATTACTGTCTCTTATCTTCAGGGAGTTAGATAGCGCGCGCACACATATTACAGTTTGGTAATTATTGGGAAAACTGGAAAGCGTCCGATTTTCACCAAAATTGGTATACACACGTATATTTTGAGGTCGTAGATTACGAATCTGAACTTTTTTCTTGGCGGTCTCTTACCGTTTTTCAGAAAAACGGAAAATTCTTTCAACATTGAATTTTCCTTTATTTCGACCCTATAAAGTAATAATTTCACTATATTTTCATTATATTATAGTTTATCTAAAAGCTACACTTGATTGGGGATAGAAAAATGTCCAAAATTTTACTGAAAAACACTTTTCTTAACGAAATAACAAAGAAAATTGAGACCAGATGGAAGTTTGACATTTGATATATCCTTGTTTCTCTCTCCTATGTGATGAGAGCTTTGAATAAGAAGACTAAGGAAGGAGCATATCAAAAATCTTAGGTACACCGCGATGGGCCTCAAATATGGCCGACGTAAATTCCGGTTTATCAGTGTCGTTCTAATTTTATTTAAAAAATGTAAAACTATGATGTAGGGTAGACGTGGGGTAGACTCAATAATTTGTTGTTTTATGTTACATTGTGAATAAATGTTGGTAGTTATTACAATTGTTATAAAAATATATAATTCTAATAAAAATAGATAAGTTATAATAAGTATTTATTAACACAAACATCCGATACGCTACTGAAGCAGGTAAGTCAAATTAACGTATCTAAATTCTTTGACATCTAATCTTTGACAAGTAATAAATAAAAGCTAAAATGCAAGAAAAATATATAATTTAGTTAATTTAAGTGAATTTCATAAATGATCGGTTAACTACACGTATGTATATTATATAGTCACTTACTAGCGAAAAGTTGTTCCATTATTTCACTCAATTTTTGCCGAGATCTACCGCACGCTACACAACCAACTATTTTAGAATCTGTTTCGATAAATCGCGATAGTGTCAATTTAAGTTCTGCCACAATTTCCATCTAGATTTACTACCTTTATACAACTATCAGTAGTAGAATAAATAATAAATAACATAAAATAAGCTCCGTAAAGACTGACAAATCCACAAAATTTCAAATCAAATTCAAATGTGTCAAATGAATCGTCAAACAGAACTGTCAAGGATCCCCACCCTAGAGTACTTTTATGGCGCTTTTTCCGCCCACCAATGCATGAATACATGGATAGCATTATGCTCCTTCCTTAGTGTTCTTATTCAAAGGATGAGAGAGACAAATATATTCTAGAGCTAATCTAGAAATTTGAAATTTTACAACGTTGCCATATCTTCTATTTTTTCGGGTGATTAGGGCTTTTAAATAAATTACCTATTATGAGATCGACAATAATTAAATATACCTACCTATATCCACAAAGTTACGCGGAAGAGTTTTGATTGCATTGGTTTCAACTTCTATGCAGAGGGGGTTAATCTTTTTTATTGTTATATTACATTTATAACCACGAAGTTGCACGAAAGAAAACTCTTTTTGGAGCTCTCCCTGGAAGGGAGCTTCCCTCCGCATGGAAGTTGTAACCAATGCAATCAAAACTCTTTCGTGCAATTTCGTGGCCATAAATAGTCAGATCTCGTTGGTAAAATAGCAGTTATGGGAAGGAGCCGTTCTTCTGGCGACCGCCTTTCGTAATCCCAGAATGAGCGAAAAAAACACGCTAAATTTAGGTTTAGCATTGGCAAGGTTGCTTTAAATGCCAGAAACACATAACTCAACATTTTCAGATTGTTTACAAATTTATTTTAGCAAATTTTCGTCTATTATGCATAGAATTGGTTAAAAAAAGTAACAGAAAATAGCAATAACATCATTGTTTATTGAATACCTAACAAAATATGTGCTAGAAAACCTTTAAATATGAGAAATTAAGAAAAATTCGATGTTGAAATAATTTTCTGTTTTTCTGAAAAACGGTAAGAGACCGCCAAGAAAAATCGTCAGATTCGTAATCTACGACCTCATAATAGGGTGTATACCAATTT